CCGACCAGGTCCCCTGAGACCCAATGAAGACCCTGCAGTCCAGGACCCGATTGTAAACCCAGCGCGCAGCATAGAAGGCAGGATGGCGATGCTCGTCCTTGTCACGGCCAAAAACAGGTTGCCAGACAAGCTGCGGTGACTTGCCTCTCGCACCCCAGAAGGGCAGAGAGGTCTGCGTGGCCTCGGCCACTTCACATTCAGCCATATTGGCCCAGAGCTTATAAGCTAGATCTAACCTACGTTGAGTTTCAACCCCTATGCCCTTCCGAGCGACATCCACCGTGTCCTCCAGAAAACCAAGAACCGCATCCCAAGAAGGGGGTTCACGGTTGGGCCCAATGGCATGCTGCTTGGGAAGAGGAGGGGGCTCACGAAATTCCAAAACTTGCATCTGGGCGGGGTTAGGGAACAACTCCAGATCCACAGGACTGTGTGGGGACAGGGGGGAGTTGTTATTGACAGTCACCTGTTTAACGACCTTGCTGATGCCCGACGACACGACGAAGTAGTCAAAGACTTTTAGGCCTCCCTGACTCCGAAGGGTATAGCAACCGTCGGTGGGGATGATAAGCTGGCCCTTAAACTCTTGAACGAACATACTGCGGCTGATGTCCTCTGGGTCCATGTTGAAGTCCCCACCTATGATAGCGGGAAGGTCCGCGTGAGAAACACTGGCTCCAACCTGCGCCAGCAGCTCGACATTGCGCTCGGAAAGACCCTCCACGTCGTGAAGGTAGACAGACGCCACTAGGATACGAAGCCCCCCCTGGAACGACCACAACCGCTGCGCCTGCACGATGAGGGGCGGTGGCGAACCCCGAAGAGAGCGTGTGCATGCCCAGGTAGGAGCGGACGAGGACGGCGATGCCCCCCGACGTGCCACCTCCAGGCCCAGGAGCTGCAGGTGCCCAACAGGATTTCCATCCACGCCGAAAGAGCCACTGGGAAGCTGAAGCAATATCCGCCTCCTCGATGAGGTGATGCTCCTGAACCAAAAGAACGCGTGCCTTGACTCTGCTGATCCACTTGTGCTTCAAAGAAAGCCAGCCAGTGATATTGCACGTTTGGACAACAAGCGAGAAATCCTGCACTGGTGGCGCAGGCGGGGGGTGCGCTCCCGCACCCTCAGAACTGAAGAGAATATCCTGGCTTAGAAGAGGGGCCTCCCCCCCCGAACGATGCAGCAAGAGCGCCGCACTCTGCTGCATGTCAGGAAGGAGGCTTCTGGCGGGCGGCGGTGCCGACGGCAGGAGCTGGAGCCAGAGGAGTGCCAGGAGCACTCGCTCCGCCACCCTCTGCAGGCGAACCCCCAGCTCCTGCAGCGGCTGCCGCTGCCTCACCCTCCCCCGACTTGATACGCTTGGTCGCGGATTGGAGGTAGTCCGCGACTCTTTTCCTGGCTTCCTCGGAAATCTCCTCTCCACGAATGAAAGCCTGGAAAGCTGACTCGTCCTCAGACGAGACCTGAGGCATCTCAACATCCGCAGACTCAGACCCCCCACCCCCCCACCCCACCCCACCCCCGCCCACATTTGAAGCAAGCTCAGCGGAAACAGGCGCGGCAAAAGTCTCACAGGCTGGCTTGAGCGTTGCCCAGGCCTCACGTATGGAACCCAGGTCGCCGCCCTCGAGGACGACGTTGAAGGTCGCCATCTGGTCGGACAGGTCTCCGGCAGGATCGTCGGCAGCGAGGGGGCGGACTTTGGCAGCAAGATCTTTATACCGAGCACTAATCTGGACCTGCTGCACCTCCGCCTCGGCCCAGAGAAGCCACGAACTTCTCATTCTTGGAAAGCGAATCTTGAACGTCACGATGCTGCTGCAACAAAGGGAGCGAATCCTTGACCGACTCGGCCGAGGACTTGACACACGTAGCCGTCTTCTGGATACTTGCAGCGAGCGCGTCACGCTCTGGGAATTCTTCTTTGAACTGTTCCATGAGCAGGGCCATCTGGGCGAGCATGGCTGCGGGAGTACGGGGCGGCGCGAGGGCACCTCCTTTGCCACCCTCACTCCCACCTTTCCCACCACCCTTCTTGCCCTTGGCCCCTTTCTTGTCCCAACTGTCAGCCTTGGGCGGACCGTACGGCCATTGACCACCAGGCTGACGAGCAGCAACAGGGTCAACAGGAGAAACTTGACGGATGGGAGCCCAACAGTTCGCACACCATTTGTACCACGGCTTGTTGCACTTGATTGCGCCACACGCCGTACACTTTGCCCCACCATCGCCTGGGGCCATGGGACAACTCTGGGGAAAGAGGGAGACCCTGGCAGCGGGGCGCTGCCACCAGGGAGGAAAGATGTCGGACTGAACAGTCCTAGCTCTGCCGCGGACTAGCGGTATCCGTGAAAGCCAATGCGGGCTCAGCCCGCCAAAGCAAAAAACTTGAGCCAAAATGGCTACGGAGGAGGAGGAGGAGGAGGAGGAGGAGGAGGATGGAGGAGGATGGAGGAGGAGGAGGAGCCCAGCACAGATGCACGCCCCCGAGGAGGAGGAGGAGGAGGAGGAGGAGGAGGAGGAAGAGGAGGAGGAGGATGGAACCCAGCACAGATGCACGCCGCTCATCCTTCGCTCCGCCGCCCCCCCCCCCCGCACACGTAAGGGGAGACCCCCGCACGCGCAAACGGCAACATGCAATGACTAAGGCAGGAATTGAGCCTCAGACCTCTAGCTTATTAGTCTGATGCTCGACCACTGAGCTGCTTCGCCCTTGGGAATTCTGGACCCCATCGCCTTACTCCTGGTTTTTCCGTGGGGGGGGGGGGGGACGACGCCAAACAACAACAACAACAACAAGATTCCGGAACGCCATGCCCCCCATAAGCCACGCACCCGGGGACAATGAATGACCGTCCGGACCCCCCTCACTCTGACATTCCCCTCTCCCCGGCTGATAGGGGCCGGATCCGGGACCTCCCATCCTACCTGTGAAAAACAATACGAAATCAACCTTTTTCGCTTCAACATGGACGTTTTGTCGTCCACGTCGCGAAATGCGTGGCAGGAATGGGACGCGGCGCACATCCCGTGCGAAAGGGCGACATGTCGCTCTCGCCTTGGCGCTGAATCGCTTTCCAGATGTGGCTCTCGCCTTGGTGCCGCGGACACTTGTCTTAAGATGTTCTGACAGTTTTACGCGGATGGAGGGCGAATCGCTTTAGAAACGTTGCTCTCGCCCTAGCGCCGCGCACGTTCGTCTTGAACATGTCTCATGGGTGAAGGGCGTCCCCTTTTCAGAACGGAGCTCTCGCCTGAGTTTTCCGCAGAAACGACGACCAAAATCTCCAAAGCACGCAGTACCTTCACGGGTGGAGAGCGGCCGCTCTTCGAAACGGGGCTCTCGCTTCAGACGCCTCCAAATCCTGTGGCCGGAAGCGCAAAGGTGTGCAACAGTTACACAGATGGACGGGCCTCTTCCTTCTCAAAACGTGGATCTCGCCAGACACTTCCCTGAACTGTATCATCCTACCACTTGGCGCTTATAGCTAGAAGGATGGAGGGTAGCTTCATGTTTGAAAACGGGGCTCTCGCCTGAATGGCATGGGGCGCTCGTCTTTCGAAGGAGCGCTTCCCGCAGTGGACAGGAATACTTGTAGGGACTTATGGGGAAGGAGCTTGGGACGGGAGGGTGTGCTGCAGCATCGTTGACGCTCTCTGGGTTTACTCTGCTCCTCTTCATCATCATCATCATCATCATCATCATCATCATCATCATCACCATCATCATCATCATCATCATCATCATCATCATCATCATCATCATCATCATCATCATCATCATCATCATCATCATCATCATCATCATCATCATCATCATCATCATCATCATCATCATCATCATCATCATCATCATCATCATCATCATCATCATCATCATCATCATCATCATCATCATCATCATCATCATCATCATTATATTTCCTCTCCCCCTCCTCATCCTACACCTCCTGCACGTCGTCTGAGCCTCTGGCCCACCGAATGTCCACGCGCGGCCCCCCTGAGCGAGCCCATGCCTGCAGCTTGCCCGCCCACAGCGTCACGGCGGCCCCGTCCTCCAGACTGCGGCCCGTTCGTCACCTGGCCTGCTGATCTGCTGGGGCCTCAAATCCGCGGTCCCGGGAGATGTGGCCTCGAGGGCCCCCCGCAGGGCCTCTATATTGCCCCTGATAGGCTCCCTTAGGACCACATCCCTTCAGATCCGCTCAAAACGGGTCCCTGGGGGGTGCGCGCGGGAGACGACGACGACGACGACGACGACGACGACGACGACGACGACGACGACGACGACGACGACGACGGCGGCGACGACGACGACGACGACGACGACGACCTCCCTGGGTCCAAGCTGTCAAGTTTTTCGCGCTGCGTCCGGCCGTGGCGACGAGGAGGGCCCCCGGGGACCAGAGAGCCTCGAACCTCGGTCCTCGAGGTTCGAGGTTCGAATCTCGACGTGAACCTCAGGACCACGTCTTCGAGGCCCCGAACGTGCACCCAGAACGACTCCCTGCTGGCAGTCGCCCGAGGCCACGGGGCGAAGCTGCGGCCCCGACCTCCAGACTGGGGCCGCGGAGAGCTCTGCTCTCCCCTCCCCTCCTTCCTCCTCCCTCCTCCCTCCTCCTCCTCCGCCTCCTCCTCCTCCTCCCCTCTCTCCTCCTCCTCCTCCTCCCTCCTCCCTCCCTCCTCCCCCTCCTCCTCCTCCTCCTCCCCTCCTCCTCCTCCTCCTTCTCCCCCTCCTCCTCCTCCTCCTCCTCCTCCTCCTCCTCCTCCTCCTCCTCTCCTCCTCCTCCTCCTCCTCCTCCCACCCTCCCTCCCTCCCTCCCTCCCTCCCTCCCTCCCTCCCTCCCTCCCTCCTCCCGAGGGCTGGAGCAGCGTGTTCCGTGCGACTGGAGAGCTACCAGGTGAAACGGGCGAACGGCAGAGAACAGCCCTGCTCGCGGAGCCGCCCCGCATCACTGCAGGGCGCCCAAGTCCCTTACATCTGCGCGTCGCTCAAGCATCACATCGAGCGCTTCTGCCTTGGTTTCGGACTGGAAAAACCGGTCGTCGTCGTCGTCGTCGTCGTCGTCGTCGTCGTCGTCGGGCGACCTGGGTTTCCCTTCACGCCGAGGCTCGAACCTCGAGCGGTCGTGATGTTTCGCGACGTTGCATGTCGGGGATGATTTCTGGTGCCCCGAGCTTGCGGGAGAGCGGAAAAGAAACGGTGGGCCTGGCAAACGGAGCGGCGCACCGGCTGCCTCCCGGCCCTTGTGAGCGCGAAGGTTTGGAGCTCGCGCAGGAGCACTGTCCCCACTAAGAATATCCTCGATGAATGCACCAGGGGCAGCATAACAATGTTGCGATGGTCTTGTGCCATGCCAGCCAACCTGCAAGAGGCACCGCTCCCAAAAGTGCGCCCTCGCCACACGGAAGTGCGTGCAGGAAGGGGTATAGGACTGGGAGCAAGAGACCGACCTCGATGTAAGGACAGCTAGCCAACTTGAAAGAAATGCTCGTATGTCTTGGCTCCCGGATAACGCAGACGCTGAAGATCAATCAGTGAGCCGTGGACAGCGTACACTGGACAGACGAAAGGGCGAGGCCCCGCCACCGAAACCGTCACTCCAAAAACTTCTCAGAGGTACAGAAGCACCAACGAGCACGCAGCGCCACTACGGCTCTGTGCCCAGCAGCTCCCAGCGCAGTGCGTCGGCGAAGTCTCTGAAGCCTGACGTTGTTTTTCTTAGTTTGTTTAAACGTCGTGTCCTTATTTATTATATTTTATTAATTGTTTCTGTTGTCTGAAGCCTGACGGTGTTACCTTCAGGTTGCGGAGCTTTGGCATGAGCATTGGCTGCGCAGCCAGAAGCCGACTCTTTGCGCGCCTGCTATTCTCCGTCGGATTTACCACGAAGACCGTTGCGCCGCGCTCGACCATCGACTCCCGCAGCTCCGGCACCGCCCGCACGCGCTGCGAGCACCCGATCTCCAGGACCACCGTGCCCGCCGCACAGCCTGAGGGGCAACGAGAGGGAGCGACTGGCTCAGGGGGGGGGACAATGACCTGGAATCGGCGATGCATCGCCGATAGATCGACGATAGCCCCCCGATGGAGAAACCGCACGTTCCCGGGCAGGATGGGGGTCGCAGGCCCCGATCAGCGATGAATGGGCGCTTGGAGGTCGATGCACCCCCCCCCCTGAGCCTATCCCCCCCTGTCGTTGCCCCTGACAGCCGTGCACGAACTTGTTCAGTTCTGGCTTCATGCTGCGGAACGTGAAGGACTCCGTCTCGCCCTGCTCCGCGTCGTTTCCCGCGGCCGAGGCCCTGCGACACCTCACCTCGCGGTAGTACGGCTCCTCGAAGTGCATCACCAGAGGCTTCTGCAAGAGGCCCTCGGTGGCACCGGGTCGGGCCGCGTCTGAGACCCCGCACTGGGCGTTCGTCTTGCCCTGCTTGAGCGGGATGGCGTGCCGGCGAACATAATCCATGCTCCCGTGCATCTCGTAAACGGTCGCCACTCCTTGGAACGTCTTCACGCTCAGCTGGTCGAGGTTAGTAGTGGCCACAATGATCTCCTTCGTCTCCGGCGTCGGCTGCTTCACTTCTCCGCGTGTCTGCTTTGCATCGCTCTCCTGGGGCGTCAGCGGCGTGAGCTCGCCCTTTTTCCACGCCGCGAGCACCTCCTGCAGGTCATGGTAACCCTGGTGCGGCTCGGCCTCCGCGAACTTCTCCACCATGTTCGCGCAGAAGGCGTCGCTTACCCTCTTGTAGGCCATGAAGCGCTCCCAAGAGACCCCGTTCACGATCTCGTCTGGGTCCTGCCACCAGTGCGGCGGGCCGAAGAGCTGGCTGTACGTGAAGGAGGGGACCCCGTAGGGCTTGGTGTCGTGCTCAGTGAGCCTGCCTTCGGCCAGGGAAAAATATTTTTTCTCCAGGGTCACGTAGCTCTCCAGGTGTGCCTCCTGCGAGGCCCCTGCGCCCAGCAGGACGATCACCTTGGTCACCTCTGGGCTCCTGAGCAGGTCGCTGAGCTGCCTGATGCGCTTACGACAGCGATCCGTGTACGACAAGCCTCCGCTCGAGTTCGAGCCGACGCTGACGCCCGAGAACGTCGACAGCGGGCTGTGATCCGCAATCGAAGTCGTGTACTGCTTGGTCGGGGAGGTGGCCATGTACATCAGGCGGGTGACCCAGCCACGCTGGCTGCTTCCGTTCGCGTGCGGGGACGCGCGGTGGTCATCCGCGCCCAGGCCGGTCAGAGCGAGGGGACGCGCGGTGCTGAGACCCGAGGGGGCACTACAGATCCTCCGGATGCTCTGCTCGCCGCCCAGGCCGGTCAGAGCGAACTCAACCTGGCCGCGGTGGCTCTCCAGCATGTCGTCGCGATCCTCCGCGGCCTCGACATCCTGAGGGTCGCTGCCCAGGTCTCCGGAGCAGAAGGACGGCAGGCTGAGCTCCGAGCTCACGCGAAACTCCGAGAGGGGGCGCCTCGCCAACACCGGGAACATGCCAAGGCGCGCGCCCGACAGGAGACGTACCCCCTGAGCCAATGATGGCGTCAGCCACAACGGCTATGGAAGGGGGGGGGAGAGGGGAGAGGGGGGAGGGGGGAAGGGGGGAGGCAGGGAGGAAGGGCAAGACGGAAGCGGAGGAGGGGGGAGGGACGGAGGAGGAGGGCGGGGGCCCGAGCGCGACGGCGCGTGCCAGAGCGCCCGCCGGACACGCGCGCGGCGCGCTCGGGCTCGATGCGGCCTTGGCGAGGGACAAACGGGGAGCACACGAAACGTGTGAGGGGTGTGCCGAAACAAAGACATGCGTGCGGGAGGAGGGAGGAGAGGGAAAAGGAGGAGGAGGAGAGGAGGAGGAACGCGGGGCACCATCTCTTCAAAACGAGGACCCAACACCACAGGATGGTTGGGAAAAAAACATGAGGCCTCCAGCCTCCAAGGGCTGCCGGGGAGACAATCAAAACATCCACACAAGGCACGGTTCGCCGCGCCCAGGGGGGGGAATCTGCCGGCCCCCGTGTGGGGCCACCAGGCTGAGGGGGCCAGGCTTTGCCGCAGTCACTCCCGTTTCTAAGTGTGACTTCTTGCTGAGCGCGCGAGGCCCCTAGGCCGCAATCTATCGTGAATTAGGCCAGATTCGCGCTCCCGAGGCCACAGTCAATCGTAAATCATGTCGGGCTCGCGCTCCCGAGGCCGCCCTCCCCCTTCAATTATACCAGGCACGCGCTCCCACGGCCACGATCCATTGCAAATTACGCCAGACTCGCGCCCCCCACCCCGCGATCCCTCGCAAATTACGCCAGATTCGAGCTCCCGACGCCACAGTCCATCGACATTTCGCCAGACCAGATTCGCGACCCCGAGGCCGCGATGCCCCGCAATCTACACCAGACTCGTCAAAAACACAAGTTATGTGAATTCCGCGTTTCTAGACCACGTGGCCACAGGAGCACTCACAGCAGCACGCAAAACAAATTAAAACACAAAAACTGAATATCATTTCGCGCTCCTGGACCGCGGCCGGCCACCGGAACACCCAGCGGCAGGCAGGACAGAAGAGTGACAGAGGTTCATCTTCTTTTCGCGCTCCTGAACCGCGCGCCACCAGGGCACCCACAGCAGCACGTCAGACGGACGAGAAAAACGGGATCTTGGGCTGCTTCCATACGAAATCCAAAGGAAAACCGGGATCTTGGACTGGTCCCATAGGAAATCCAAAAGAAAACTAGGATCTTGGAGTGCTTCCATAGGAAATCCAAAAGAAAACCGGGATCTTGGATTGGTTCCATAAGATATCCACATGAAAACCGGGATCTTGGACTGGTCCCGTAGGAAATCCAAAGGAAAACCGGGGTCTTGGATTGGTTTCATGACAAATCCAACGGAAAACCGGGATCTTGGCGCGCTTCCATAGGAAATCCAAAAGAAAACCGGGATCTTGGAGTGCTTCCATAGGAAATCCAAAGGCAAACCGGCATCTTGGGCTGCTTCCATAAGAAATCAAAACAAAAAAAAAAAAAAAAAAAAAAAAAAAAACGGGATCTTGGGGTTCTTCAAACCCAAAGGAAAACCGGGATCTTGGGCTGCTTCCATAGGAAATCCAAAGGAAAACTTCGATCTTGGACTGGTCCCATAGGAAATCCAAAGGAAAACCGGGATCTTGGAGTGCTTCCATAGGAAATCCAAACGAAAACTGGAATCTTGGATTGGTTCCATAGGAAATCCAAAAGAAAACCGGGATCTTGGATTGGTTTCATAAAAACTCCAAAAGGAAACCGGGATCTTGGATAGGTTCCCATAGGAAATCCAAAGGAAAACCGGGATCTTGGAGGGCTTCCCTAGGACATCCAAAGGAAAACCGGCATCTTGGGCTGCTTCCATAAAAAATCCAAAAGAAAACCGTGATCTTGGATTGGTTCCATAAAAAATCAAAAAGGAAACCGGGATATTGGATTGGTTCCTTAAGAAATCCAGGAGGAAACCCGGGATCTTGGACTGGTCCCATAGGAAATCCAAAGGTAAACCGGGATTTTGGATTGGATTCGTAAGTCAAAAAAAAAAAAACGGAATCTTGGATTACTTCCATAGGAAATCAAAATGAAAACCGGGATCTTGGATTGCATCCTCAGGAAATCAGCAAAAACAAATCGGGATCTTGGATTGCTTCCTTAGGAAGTCCAAAAAGAAACCGGGATCTTGGGCTGCTTCCATGGGAAATCCAAAAGAAAATCGGGATCTTGGGCTGCTTCCCTAGGACATCCAAAAGGAAACCGGGATCTTGGAGTGCTTCCTTGGGAAATCCGAAGGAAAACCGAAATCTAAGGGTGCTTCTATAGGAAACCCAAAGGAAAACCGGGATCTTGGATTGGTTTCATAAAGTATCCAAAAGAAAACCGGGATCTTGGATTGGTTTCGTAGGAAATCCCAGGACAACCGGGATAGTTGATTGGTTCCTTAGGAAATGCAAAGGACAACCGATATCTTGCCTTTGGAAATGCAAACGAAAACCGGGATCTTGGAAGGCTTCCATAAAAAAATCCACAGGAAAACCGGCATCTTGGATTGGTTTCGTAGAAAATCCTGCGGAAAACCGGGATCTTGGGCTGCTTCCATAGGAAATCCAAAGGAAAACCAGGATCTTGGGCTGCTTCCATAGGAAATCCAAAAGAAAACTGAATCTTGGGGTTCTTCCATAGGAAATCCGCCGACCCTGTCGGCGTGTGTGAGGGGCTTTTCCGTTCGAGCCGTCATCTCCGTCATTCTTTGTACTCGTCGTCTCTGTCCTTCCCTTTCCCTGGGAGACCTCTTCCCCTGGGCTCCAGCCAAGCCGACCTTGAGCAACCTCGTAATTGAGTCGAAGGGAAGCCCCTTCCCTTTGATCCCTCCCCCGCCGGGAGGGGGGGGGGGGTAGCGACCCCCCCCCCGGGTCAGATACGACGCCCCCCCCTGGGACTCCTCTTCCCCTGGGCTCCAGCCAAGCCGACCTTGAGCAACCCCTGGGCTCCAGCCAAGCCGACCTTGAGCAACCTCGTAATTGAGTCGAAGGGAAGCCCCTTCCCTTTGATCCCTCCCCCGCCGGGAGGGGGGGGGGGGGTGTCGACCCCCCCCCCGGGTCAGATACGACGCCCCCCCCTGGGACTCCTCTTCCCCTGGGCTCCAGCCAAGCCGACCTTGAGCAACCTCGTAATTGAGTCGAAGGGAAGCCCCTTCCCTTTGATCCCTCCCCCGCCGGGAGGGGGGGGGGGGTGTCGACCCCCCCCCCGGGTCAGATACGACGCCCCCCCCTGGGACTCCTCTTCCCCTGGGCTCCAGCCAAGCCGACCTTGAGCAACCTCGTAATTGAGTCGAAGGGAAGCCCCTTCCCTTTGATCCCTCCCCCGCCGGGAGGGGGGGGGGGGTCGACCCCCCCCCCGGGTCAGATACGACGCCCCCCCCTGGGACTCCTCTTCCCCTGGGCTCCAGCCAAGCCGACCTTGAGCAACCTCGTAATTGAGTCGAAGGGAAGCCCCTTCCCTTTGATCCCTCCCCCGCCGGGGGGGGGGGGGGGTAGCGACCCCCCCCCCGGGTCAGATACGACGCCCCCCCTGGGACTCCTCTTCCCCTGGGCTCCAGCCAAGCCGACCTTGAGCAACCTCGTAATTCTTTGAGCGAATACGAACTGGGATCCAGGCCGACCTTGAGCGGCTGCGCATTGCGAACAGGGTCGGCGGCACCGGCCGTCAGGCCTTCGCAATAAAAAAAACAAAATCAAAAAAAAAAAAAAAACAAAAAAAAAAAAAAAAAAAAAAATGGATTGCTTCCATCGGAAATCCAAAAGAAAACCGGGATCTTGGATTGCTTCCATAGGAAATCCAAAAGAAAACCGGGATCTTGGATTGCTTCCATAGGAAATCCAAAAGAAGACCGGGATCCTGGACTGCTGCCATGGGAATTCCAAAAAGGAAAACCGGGCTTTTTGATTGCTTCCATAAGACATCCAAAGGAAAACCGGGATTTTGGACAACTTCCATAGGAAATCCAAAAGAAAACCAGGATCTTGGATTGCTTCCTACGAAATCGAAAGGAAAACTGGGAACGCGGGCTCCTTCCATATGAAAATCGAAAGGAAAACTTAGATCTTGGATTGGTTCCTTAGGAAATCCAAGGGAAAACCGGGATCTTGGGCTGCTTCCATAGGAAATCCAGAGGACAACTGGGACATTGGATTGGTTCCCTTGGAAATCAAAAAGAAAACCGGGATCTTGGATTGCTTCCATAGGAAATCCAAACGAAAACTGGGATCTTGGGGTGCTTCCATAGGAAACCCAAAGGAAAACCGGGATCTTGGGCTGCTTCCATAGGAAATCCAAAAGAAAACCGGGATCTTGGGGTGCTTCCATAGGAAATCCAAAGGACAACTGGGGTCTTGGGGTTCTTCCATCGGAAATCCAAAGGAAAACCGGGATTGCTTCCATAGGAAATCCAAAGGAAAACGCGGATCTTGGGGTGCTTCCATAGGCAGTCCAAAGAAAAAACGGGATATTGGATTGGCTCCATGGGAAATCCAAAAGAAAACCGGGATCTTGTATTGCTTCCATAGGAAATCCAAAGGAAAACCGGGATCTTGGATTGCTTCCATTAGAAATCCAAAAGAAAATCTGGATCTTGGATTGCCTCCATAGGCAATCCAAACGAAAACCGGGATCTTGGGATTCCATAAGAAATCCAAAAGAAAACCGGGATCCTGGATTGCTTCCATAGGAGATCAAAAAAACAACTTGGATCTTGGGGTGCTTCCATAGGAAATCCAAAAAGGAAAACTGGGATCTTGGATTGCTTCCATAGGAAATCCAAAGGAACACCAACATCTTGAGGTGCTTCCACAGGAG